GTCCAAACACTGAACATCATTATTTTCTGAACGCTGCATGTCAACATGTGGGATTTTCTGTTGGACTCAACATGCAGGACCTGGGATGTTTACAGCGAGACAAACAGTGACAACACAAGTGTGTGTGAGTTGTGTGTCCAGGACTCCAACATTTACAAATACAAAGTTCGACGTGTTTTCTTCACAGAGGAAAACAGCTGATGTCCATCAACCGTCCTCGCTTCTCTGACTGTTCCACATGTAGGATTGACAACAAAGTTTAAGCTTTAAAATCACTTTATTACATTTGCTTCTGTGTTGAACAGATTTTATTGTTGATTCCATCACACATGAACATTCAGCCACAAATGAATTCATGTTTCACTCAGTTAACACTGTTTCACTTGTTTTTTCAGTCATAATATACTCAGCGTGATTTCTTTTATTAAATCATTATTAAAATACTGTCTCTGGATATTTGTTAGTTGTTCTGACCCAGCACTCACACACAAACCCGTCACAGGAAAAGGTCAGATATTAATCACTCAAACTGCATTTCTCATCCATCACATTAATTCGACTTACTTTGATTATATCTGTGATTAAGAATAAAGCTGATTTACTATCAGTAAAAGCACACATAGAGAAACTGTTCAAACACGTTGTGTCACTGTAACCTTAAGAGGCTGGATGTTAAGACCTTTTACTCTCTCGCCGTTGTAATCAGAGGTAAACCTTTAATCACTCAACAAAATAATCAGTGAAAAGGAAACGTTTGCCTGTTCTCGTTCACACGACGTCTATAAAACAACGGTGCCAGAGCGCACAGTTTTAATGTGACGGAGATCTGATGTCACGTTGTTAAGGAGAGACAAGCGTAACACATTAATTCAACGTCTGCATCAGATCTACATCATAACATCATGTTGTACTTGAACACCCACATGGAAAAGATATAAATCTTATAAAGTTTGTATCTGTCGTGTGTGAAACTTGTATGTTTTGGATACTAAAACAATATATGAAAGTGGCCACTTTCATGAGTGAAGCATATCAGCCTTCTGTGATTCACTGTATGAAGTCGGCCACATCTGATGCAAGTCTTTTATAAGTTTCTTCTATTTCTTTTCCATATGAGTAACTATGCACGTGACAAATAAAGAACACCAGAACCAGAACCCCGTTTAGCTCTGCGTTGCAACCTTCTACATAACCTGACGTACACATTTAACTACACATCTGCTCGATGCATACCACAACAACTTGAACGGCATGGAAGATTGCAGCCTGGGGAAAAAACACGTTCCTAGTTACTAAGTTAGGACATAAAGAGAGCCTTCAGTTTTCAAGCCCCTCTTCTGTGGAACCAGCTTCCAGTTTGGATTCAGGAGACAGACACTATCTCTACTTTCAAGATTAGGCTT